CAGGGAGCCCGATGCGGGACTCGATCCTGGGACTCCAGGATCATGACCTGAGCCGAAGGCAGTTGCTTAACCAACTGAGCCACCCAGGCGCCCGAGTGAATTTATTTTGTGCATGTCTTTTAGTTATGGTTGTAACACAGCTATGATCAAAGGACTCTATGCACAGTGGATGTTTGAGCATATTTAAGTAACATAACCAAACTCGTTTAAATAAACACAAAGGATCTGCGAAAAAATTTTGCCTTAAAAGAGTCTATACGTTACTCGTGGCTTTATCTGTCAGGGATGCTTTAAAGACGGTTTATGAATTGGGTGAGACTGGATTAACTCTAGGTATATGGACAAACAGAGTGCCTGTATTGTACACACACTTTAGCTAAGCAACATATAACAACCCACGCCCCAGCATTAATTCTCAGCTTTCACCCAACCATTCTCAATATGCTTTGAGCTCATCACGCTCATCCCTGAATCTAAGCAAGGTCACACATGTATATGCCTGTGGACATCAGGCAGATAAATAAATGAGTGAAGCTACTCAGGGCATGAGGAAAAAAATTTATTGAAATCCTCAGCGTTGGGGCGCCTGGGTGGCTCAGTGGGTTAAGCACCTGCCTTTGGCTCAGGTCATGATCTCCGGGTCCTGGGATTGAGCCCCATGCAGGCTCTCTGCTGAGCAGGGAGTCTGCTTCTCCCTCTGTGCTCTCCCTCTTTCTCTCTCAAATAAATAAAATCTTTAAAAAAATAAATAAAAGAAATCCTCAGCCTTCTTTATCTCTCTATATTTTTTCTTAGCATAAAAATATAAGTGTATAAGAAATATTTCATTTCCCATTTACTTCATTTAAAGAAGACATCAAAAATATGATAAATGGCAAATGACACCTAGCTTCGGTGTGGGAGCTCACGACAGGGTGTGGTGTGAACTGTGGCCTACTAGGGAATCCACTCTCCAGCTGAGGGGGCGACCACCACCCAGCTCCAGCCAAAAGCTGTCATACGGGAATTCAGGATGACTGCTACCAGGTCTCCCAATTTTAAATATATATCTAAAGACAAGAAAAGGAGAAAAGGAGGGGAGAGACCTGGGAGGGAAGAAGGGAGGAGAGAGAGAGGGAGAGGGAAAGGGGGGACAGAGAGAGGAAGGAAAGAAGAAAGGAAGAGAGAGAGAGGAAAGGTTTTATATGAAAATCTTCCAATTAAAAAGTTCTGGCAACAGATTCAAGACGTTTTCCCAAACACTGTACTTGGCCAAAAAAGATACCGTGTCTGCAGCTAAGTGAGGGGGACCCGCAGCGTGCAACTCCGCTCTCAGCTCCCCTTCAAGCCTGCCCCCTGCCCAGCATCTGCATATCCTCCCCCGGGCTCGCGACGGTCCTTCAAGGTCAGCATTAGGGAGCCTCAAGGCCTGGCCCGCTCCCGCTGACTCTCCTCCCCGCAGCCCTGCGCGGACACTCCTCTTGGCTCTCCATCCTCCACTGCCTCACTCAACAGTTTCCCAACCTCCGGGTGTTTGTCCCGGCTCGCGCCTTACTCACTGCTCCTGGACCCTCCTCCGTCACCAGCGACGCTGTGCACCTTGCCAGTGCTCGTTAAATCTCCGGGCTGAGCACAGTAAAGCGGACGGAGAAGGCACCTCCGCGGAGAGACGAAAGCCTCACTCGGCACGCAATGCCTTCCCGGCACCCCCCCCCCAGCCCCCCTCGGCCCGCGCGGGCCCCGGGCTCACGGTGCACGGGACTCCCCCCACCCCACCCCGGGCCCCGCGGCCCTCCTCGCCCCGCCGTCCAGAAGGGCCGGCTGGCGGAGGATGTGCGGAGCCACGAGAAGCCGCACCGCCCGCCTCCGAGCTGTTTGTGATTTCCTCCCGGGGCTCCGTTCGCCCTCCCCCTCAGGAG